GTTTTCGTTTGCACATAGCGATCGAGCCCAGTCTGTATTTACGCTCCTGTATTTAGCGCTTTGCGTAATTTTCGGCTGGGAGAGGCGAAGGTCGCAGTGAGTTCACAATACCGGGCGCTGAGAGACTACTGCTGTTGTTGTTGTCGTTGTCGAAGTCGAAGACACAGTTGTAAGCGAGGGCATTGTACTGGTCGGTACTGTTATCAGCAATTCATTGGTAAGACAGTAGGGGTCTGGAGACGGGCACTGGGCACTCCATGACCTACTTTGCAATGTGCTGGGTGAGCATATTAACGCAGGGAAGAGAGAGCGTTCTCTTTCCGAACTAGCTTGCAGTAATGCAGTTGTTGTTGGTATAGTTACATCAGGTGCGCGTATAGAAAAGTACGTTCGTCTTGTTGTTGTTGCTGCCGAGCACGATTTTGGCTCATTTTTCTTTGTTGCTTACAAAGCTTATGCTCTTACTCGTTGGCATCACTTTATTTTTCTCACAAAATTTAGTTCGTTTTTTTAGTGCTAATCACAATATATGATCAATTTACATGGGTAACACGAGCATAAGTGCCCATGCATACCCTGAGCGCCTTTCGCGAATTAATTTGGTTAACTTGGCGTTAATTGCACTATATTTTTAGCACATGGCGAAGCGAAATAAAAATACGTCCGACATCTACGACGTTCACTTTGAGCGAATGTAAAATAAATTCTATTTTTAATAAACAACATTCTTTAGATGCGCTTCTCAAACATTTGTGTTGTATTTTTTCAACAATTAATTGGCGTTTTCGCAAATGCTTGCAGGCTAAAGGAAATGGCATATTTGTTTTCTATTTAATATACTTGTTGTACGCTACAGAATCTAAACACAATTAGTCAGTCAAATGTGAGCGTCGACAGTCAGCTGTTCCTGATAGCTGGCTTGGAGGGGAAGTTCGAAAAAATTAAATCTTTCGCAGTTCCGTGGCACCGACGTATTTTTGGGAGTTTTCAAAAACAACTGTAGCCGAAACCAACTGAGTTTTCTGTGACACACCTGATAGTCTCTCAAATACTGGTGTTCATACGGACAGACAGACATGGCTACATATATATATACATATATACGTTGTGGCGTCTGCCACGCCTCCTTTTGCCAGTTACATATTTGACTTCCCGCAAACATAATATACTTTTGCACCTATTAGGTATCTCTATATATATAAAACAGTTTGTCCTGACTGACTGATTGGTGATCAACGTACAGCCCAAACGGCAAGAGCTATGAAGCTGAAATTTGGGCTCAAGGATCCTATCATAGTGAATGTGCCCACTAAGAAGGGATTTTGGAAAATTCAAGCTCCAAAGGGGGGACAACGAGCTCCAAAGTTTGTTTAAAAATTCTGCATTTTTTAGCCGATCGACATAAAATTTGGTTTCTGAAATCAATTAAAGAATACAAACAAAACTGCATACTCGGATTTTCAGTGGTGGGGCTTGAATTATTGGAGTTTTATTATTTATTCACCTATTCAAATGAAAAGTTTGTGTTTTAAATTTTTTCCGATCGATTTCAAATTTGGGGACTGTAATCTACGTAACTAAATCTACAACTTTGCGTTCAAGGATTTTCAAAATATGCATTTTACAAATGCAGGCAGAACAAACAATTAAAAAAATCAAACAGTTGGGGACAACTAAGTATACATACACACACACATATATATACAAGCAGCTGTTCGTGTAGTTGCGTGCAAACGATTGAAATAGCCAAAGCAAAATGTGAGACACTAATGTGTGAATGTCCATACATATGTGCACATCTATGTACAAGTATGTACAAATGTATCTACATATGTATGTATGTACATTCGTCTTGCACTGACAGAGCAAGAAAAGTTAATTAATTGAAAATTATATAACATTTTTAAAAGTAATTATACTCTGTACATGAAATGTACAAGAGTATATTAGGTTTGCGGGAGCTGAAAAATGTAACAGACAGAAGGAGGCGTGGCAGACCCCCCAAAGTATATATATTCTTGATCAGCGTGACAAGACGAGTCGATCTAGCCCTGTCTGTCTGTCTGTCCGTCCGTATGAACACCTGGATCTCAGAGACTATAAGAGATAGAGACACCAAATTTTGCACAAAGATGCGTTATGTGTGTATTCTATACGAGTTTGTTTTATTTTTTTGATTTCCCCCCCACTTCCCCCCCATGGAGGTTTTCCCGATTTTCCATTCGTATAATCGCCTATATCTCGGAGACCATAAGACCTAGGAACACCAAATTTTAGTCCAAGGTGCCTTGTAAATTTTGCAAATACCCCCAGTTAGTAATTATGTGTCCGTATGCCAAGTTTTACTATGATAGACCGATTTACCAAGAAGTTATAGCCATAAATATATTTGCTGCTGCAGCGCTGCTCAAGCGCTGCCCGCGGCTGTTGTTGATGTTGCTGTTTGGTTGACTGCGAAAATGCTTACACAGACACGAATAGATGCGCATAGGCATACATACACTCACACAGACGCAATTGCTAAGTAAATGTGCAATTATAAACCCTTTACGTGAGTTCGAATACCGAGAAAGGTAAAATCGATCATTGAATTTTTTTTTATTTTCTTAATTTTTTTTATTTTCTATAATTATTGTAAACATATGTACAGAGTATTTCAAAGTCGGGACACCCGACTTTAGCTTTTTTACTTGTTTTTTCTTTGTTTAGTGCATTTGGCATTCGGGTTTTCATTAATAACTTTATGCAGCAACAATAAAAATCAAATATTTGGGGACATCACATACACACACTCACACACACAACAAGCAACAGTTCGTGTCTATGTGTGCGGTTCTGTACGTATGGTTGAAAAAGTAAAGAGAAACATACATATGTATCTATAGTATGTATGTGTCCCTGTGTATGAATATAGCATGTACATTCGTATTAATGTATACATTGGGCAATCGAACACAGTTGTTTGATTGTAAAAAAAATGCTCTAAAAACAACAACTGCAAGTCATTGGCTCGCGCTTCTTCTTTCGTTGTGACCATTTAATGTTAATTGCAAAGGCAAAACGCCAAAAGTTTACAGTTACCGTCGCTAGGCAACGACTGCGTAAGCGATAGTAAGGCAGAAGCCGAATAACGGAGCTACGCATATTCTGCTTCGCATTGCGGGCAGATGTATGTTTGTATATGATTTGTTCTAAATGATCTCAATAAATTATAAGATGTTATTATTTAAATTTTCTGTTAATGCATTCAAACTTCGATGGAATTATTGATTGTATCGACGGATTCAACTATCGATAGTTTTGATGCTCTAACACATAGAGCATCCGACACATGCCCATCTCTAGCATCTCAGCTGATCGCATATTTACAGCGACTTACCGTTTTAGTGTTAGCTAACAACGCTACAAATATACTCTGAACAAATCTGAGTCATTTATCGTTAAACCTATTTTGTGAGTTTATTCATGCGATTTACAAAAGCAGAAACCCACCTTTTACATTCACAACAATCATATTTGGAATTGAAGAAACAAATTAGTGTTGAATTAAAAAATTTAATACATACTTATATATGTATGTATGTACATATATAGGCGGATAACGCCTGCATGAAAAATTTAAATGTATGTACATATCAGCGTTGCCGAACGCTCCAATTTTGGCGGGACGTCCCGATTTATAAATCAAAATTAAATGTCCCGCGTCGGACTTTTCGGGGATAACTCGACCGTGCGTACAACGTGCTGAGGAAGCACACAGTTAAGTCAGGACTGGCAGTCCGCCCGTTGCATAACGAAGATACATATGTGCATATGTATGTATGTACGTATAACCATACATAGTACTTATTGTACTATATTTGCTTTTTGGAAAATGAACTCTTTAAAAAACTTTAGAGAGCGTCGAAAGAAGAATATCATATAGTAAATAAACTTATAATTATGAGCACATTTTACTTAGCCCAGCAAAGGCGGGCAAGACCTGCTAGTAGAGTATAAACAGGCAAAATATGTATAAATATCAAGTTGTCAGGAAGTAACAGAGCTGGAGTAAGAAGTCAAGACGATAATGAAAACAAGTAAAAAAGCTAAAGTCGGGTGTCCCGACTTTGAAATACTCTGTACATATGTTTACAATAGAAAATAAAAAAATTAAGAAAATTACAAAAAAAAAAATTGGATCGATTTTACCTTTCTCGGTATTCGAACTCACGTAAAGGGTGTATAATTGCACATTTACATAGCAATTGCGTCTGTGTGAGTGTATGTATGCCTATGCGCATCTATTCGTGCCTGTATAAACATGTTAGCAGTCAACCAAACAGCAATATCAACAACAGCCGCGGGCAGCGCTTGAGCAGCGCTGCTGCATAATTACTAACTGGGTGTATTTACAAAATTTTAGTTCGAAATTCCAAGAATTACGGGAGTTAGAGAAAATCGCGATTTGCGGGGGAGAGGAGGGAGGGAGGGAAATTCCAAAATATACATTTTCTGCGTATTCACATAAGGCACCTGGGACTAAAATTTGGTGTTCCTAGGTCTTATAGTCTCCGAGATATAGGCGATTATACGAATGGAAAATCGGGAAAACCCCCATAGGGGGGAAGTGGGGGGGAAATCAAAAAAATAAAACAAACTCGTATAGAATACACACATAAGGCATCTTTGTGGAAAATTTGGTGTCTCTATCTCTTATAGTCTCTGAGATCCAGGTGTTCATACGGACGGACAGACGGACAGACAGACAGACAGGGCTAGATCGACTCGTCTCGTCATGCTGATCAAGAATATATATACTTTGTGGGGTCTGCCACGCCTCCTTCTGCCTGTTACATTTTTCAGCTCCCGCAAACCTAATATACTTCTGTACATTTCATGTACAGAGTATAATGAGTTAATGTAATTCGCTAAGTTTGGAATGGCAAATATGTAGGTTTATTATTGACTGCTCAAAGGCTATAATAATGACATTAATGAAAAATACATTTCATTTACAGATGTTCCTGAAGCCTACGTCCGCCTTGGAACCTCTCTTGACGCGAATGCACTACGTGAAGGTACAGATGTATATTTTGACTGCTTAGTTATGGCCCACCCACAAGTTTTCCGCATTGAATGGCGACATAATGTAAGCAATAATAATAATGTTACATTTAAAAACAAGATAGAACGCTACAGTCGAGCAAGCCCGACAGTAAAATAGCCTGTACTCTCCACAAAAAAAGAAAAATTAAAAAAAAAAAATTAAAAAAAAAATTAAATTATTAAAAAAAATTAATGAATTAATTAATTAAATTAAATTAGAATATATGTTTATGTTTAGTTTTAACAGCATACATTAACATCACGTACCTATGCGTGTTTATATGCGTGTATGTATGCAGCACAAAGTTTAACCAAAGCAGCAACAACAACAACAGCTGCGGGCAGCGCTGCCGACAGAGCTGCAGGCAGCGCATGAGCAGCGATTTTACTTATGGCTATAACTTTCTTCAGAATTGACCTATCATGATGAAATTTGGCAAACGGACACAATAGTACTAACTGGATGTACCTACCAAAATTGATTTCAAAATTCCGAGAATTACGGAAGTTATAAGAAAAAACACGAATTGCGGGGGAGTGGGGGGGTGCATCGAAAAAAAACTCAAACTCGTACTTTCTCGGTCTTAGGAGAATATGGAAACCAAGTTTGGTTATTCTAGCTCTTATACTTTCTGAGATCCTTGCGTTCATACGGACAGACGGACAGACAGACGGACAGACGGACAGACGGACAGACGGACAGACGGACGGACGGACAAGGCTATATCGACTCGGCTTCTCATCCTGATCAAGAATATATATACTTTGTGGGGTCTGCCACGCCTCCTTCTGTGTGTTACATACATGCGCACAAAACTAGTATAGCCTTTCACCCTTTGGGTACAGGCTATAAAAAATTGTTTTTATGCTTAAACATACATTTTTAACATTCCGGGTTCTAAAATAATTCTGCCTTTTTATACCCTGTACCCGTAGGGTAAAAAAGGTATATTAGGTTTGTGAAAAGTATGTAACATGCAGAAGGAAGCATCTCCGACCCCATAAAGTATATATATTCTGAATCAGCATGACGGGAGAAATCGATCTGAACATGTCCGTCCGTCCGTCCGTCCGTCTGTCCGTCTGGATGAACGCAAGGATCTCAGAAATTATAAAAGCTAGAATAACCAAAGATGGTATCCAGATTCTCCTATGTCCGAGAAAGGACGAGTTTATTTTATTTTTTTGAATTTCCCCCCCTTCCCCCGCTACAGAATTTCGTCAATAGCGTCCACATTTCAAATGCTACCTAAACCACACATAATTTATTTATAATTATCTACTGTTGTTTAAAATTTTATCCAATTCGGTCAATTATAAGAAAAGTTATTAGCGAAACAAATTCTCTCCAGTACAACCCCCACAAACTGCAGCAACAAGTTCGCTCTTCTTCTTCCTCTTTTTGCTGCTGCTATGGGCGCATATAACTCAGTGACGGAAGTTTACCTGGGTACAGGGTATTGCACTGTCGGGCTTGCTCGACTGTAGCGTTCTCTCTTCTTATATATAAACAAGTAACAAGATAGAACGCTACAGTCGAGCAAGCCCGACAGTAAAATAGCCTGTACTGCCCACAAAAAAAGAAAAATTAAAAAAAAAAAAATTTAAAAAAAAAATTAAATTATTAAAAAAAATTAATGAATTAATTAATTAAATTAAATTAGAATATATGTTTATGTTTAGTTTTAACAGCATACATTTACATCACGTACCTATGCGTGTTTATATGCGTGTATGTATGCAGCACAAAGTTTAACCAAAGCAGCAACAACAACAACAGCTGCGGGCAGCGCTGCCGACAGAGCTGCAGGCAGCGCATGAGCAGCGATTTTACTTATGGCTATAACTTTCTTCAGAATTGACCTATCATGATGAAATTTGGCACACGGACACATTAGTACTAACTGGATGTACCTACCAAAATTGATTTCAAAATTCCAAGAATTACGGAAGTTATAAGAAAAAACACGAATTGCGGGGGAGTGGGGGGGTGCATCGAAAAAAAACTCAAACTCGTACTTTCTCGGTCTTAGGAGAATATGGAAACCAAGTTTGGTTATTCTAGCTCTTATACTTTCTGAGATCCTTGCGTTCATACGGACAGACGGACAGACAGACGGACAGACGGACGGACGGACAAGGCTATATCGACTCGGCTTCTCATCCTGATCAAGAATATATATACTTTGTGGGGTCTGCCACGCCTCCTTCTGTGTGTTACATACATGCGCACAAAACAAGTATAGCCTTTCACCCTTTGGGTACAGGCTATAAAAAGCTAAATACTCTGTACATATCTTTAGAAATTAGAAATAGATTTATAAATTAAAAAATTAAGAAAATTAAAAAAAAAATTTGATTAATTTTACCTCTCTCGGAATTCGAACTCACGTAAAGGGTGTATAATTGCACATATACAAAGCAATGAATGTCTATGCGCGTCTATTCGCGTCTGTGTAAACATGTTTGCAGTCAATCAAAGCGTCAGCAAATATATTTATGGCTATAACTTCTTGTTAAATTGGTCTATCAGTGAAACTTGGCATACGGACACATAATCACAAACTGGGGGTATTTTCCTAGTTTGAGTTCAAAATTCCAAGAATTACGGGAGTTACGATTTGTGGGGGAGAGGGGGGAAGAAGGGAAATTCCAAAATACACATTTTCTGCGTATTCACAAAAGGCATCTTGGAGTAAAATTTTATGTTCATGGATCTTATAGTCTCCGAGATATAGGCGAATATATGAATGGAAAATCGGGAAAACCCCCATAGGGGGGAAGTGGGAAAATCAAAAAAATAAAACAAACTCGTATAGAATACACACATAAGTCATCTTTGTGCAAAATTTGGTGTCTCTATCTCTTATAGTCTCTGAGATCCAGGTGTTAATACGGGCGGACAGACGGACAGACAGACAGACATAGATCGACTCGTCATGCTGATCAAGAATATATATACTTTGTGGGGTCTGCCACGCCTCCTTCTGCCTGTTACATTTTTCAGCTCGCGCAAATCTAGTATACTCTTGTACATTTCATGTAGAGAGTATAAAAATCATTGTAAATAAGCAACCCCAAAAATGGATATATAGAATTAGTTAAGATTCAGAATGCCAATGCCTAATAAGAAGAAGTGTATCACCACATGCACTAATATTAGAAATGACAAACGCAAAAACGCGTAGTCACCAATGTAGCGAATACCGACAGCAAATAATGTACTATAGTTGGCAATAACTCTCGGGATGACATGCCAATTGTAACCGAGCTTGGCGATGATGCGGAAGCTCGCAATTTAGAATCGGAAACGAGTGAAAAAGGCACGAGTGAAAAATAATTTGGAAATCATAGGTATTGCCCGACCATGTACCACACAATGTGTTCAAAGGAAGTACCAGTTATTCGACTGCGTTATAAACTGTCTTACATAGTTGCCACCGCGAACATACAGATGGTAACCGCATCAGTGATTCGAAATGCGGAACAGGTGGGAATCAACAAACATTACCACCCCAATAGCACTATAGAACTCAAAATCGTTATAGAACTTTAATATAAGAAAATATAAAATATATATTTATTGAAACTAAAGATGTAATTTAACATTAAATTGAACTACGAGCATTAACCAGAATAGAATGCTAGAGTCAAACCTGTATTTCGATATATACGATATTTGTACGTACATATGTATGTATATATACGGATGTAAACTGAAGTTTTTAAGTCCTATTGTGAATTTTCAATTTCTCCATAGTTTTTGTAACAGCATATGTATATTGTAGGGTCTGCCACAGCTCTTGCTGTGTTTAACATACATTTGCACTAAGGCAGACAAACTTTCGGCACTAAGTTATATGCGTCCAAAGCAGAAACAAGAAAAAGAGCGAGCTTGATGCTGGAGTTTGTGGGCGTAGTACTGAATGAAATTTTTTCAATAATAACTTTTGTTTTAATTGACCAATTTGAATGAAATTTACAACAAAGGTAGATATTTGATTTAGATGGACTTGCACATCCAATGCCAAGCAATTAAAGCCGGCACCTATTTATGAGCGTCAAGTAAATTGTATTAAATTGGTTAAAAAAAAACTAATTAACAAAATTGGCGAAAAAAATTCTATGCCCCGTTCATAAAAAGAGTTAACATAAATAAAGCAAAACAAGTAGAGAAGCTGAAGTTGGGTATCCCGACTTTGAAATACTTGTACATATGTGTAGTATGATTATGCGTATCTCGGCGTGTATGTGTGTGTTTGTGTGTGTCTGTGTGCCTGTGCAAAGCAGTAACAACAACAACAACAGCTGCGGTCACTGCATATATACATATATGGCTATAACTTCCTGTTAAATCGGCCTATCATTATAAAACTCGACACGCGGGAGGTATTTTCAAAATTTCAATGAAAAATTCCAAGAATTAAGGGAGTTATGGATTGTGGGGGAAAGGGGGGAGGGAGGTAAATTCCAAAATACACATTTTCTGAAAATACCCCCAGTTGGTTATTATGTGTCCGTATGCCAAGTTTCACTATGATAGACCGATTTAACGAGAAGTTATAGCCATAAATATATTTTCTGCTGCAGCGCTGCCCAAGCGCTGCCCGCGGCTGTTGTTGATGCTGGTGCTTTGGTTGACTGCGAACATGCTTACATAGACACGAATATACGAGCACAAACATACATACACTCACATAGACGCAATTGCTTTGTATATGTGCAATTATACACCCTTTACGTGAGTACGAATACCAACAGAGGTAAAATCGATCAACAAATTTTTTTATACTCTGTACATGAAATGTACAAGAGTATATTAGGTTTGCGGGAGCTGAAAAATGTAACAGGCAAAAGGAGGCGTGGCAGACCCCACAAAGTATATATATTCTTGATCAGCATGACGAGACGAGTCGATCTAGCCCTGTCTGTCTGTCTGTCCGTCTGTCCGTCCGTATGAACACCTGGATCTCAGAGACTATAAGAGATAGTGACACCAAATTTTGCACAAAGATGCGTTATGTGTGTATTCTATACGAGTTT